TCTCTCTCTCTCTCTCTCTCTCTCTCTCTCTCTCTCTCTCTCTCTCTCTCTCTCTCTCTCTCTCTCAATATCTCTCTCGCTGTTTTTCTGGGAGAAGTCAGCTGCTACATCATAAGGACACCCAAGAAACTCTGTGGAGAGGTCCATATGGCAAGGAACCAAGCCCTCTGGCCACAAACCAGTAAGGAACTGAGGCCTCCAGCCAATAGCCCATGAGGAGGTCATCTTAGAAACAGACCCTCCAACCCCAGACAAGCCTTCAGCACATGCAGCCCCAACCAACATCTTGACTGAAACCTCATGAGGGACCTGAGCTAGAACCATCTGACTCTCAGAAACTGTGTGAGATAATAAATGTTTATTATTCTAAGTCACAGAGTTTTGAGATAATGGTAATGCAGTAATATGTAATAAATAACTAAGAAGGTCAACATACTTATTTTCTGAATCTCCAAACTCACAAGCTTGTGTTAAGATAAAAAATATTTGTGTTGAACTAACCACTTACAAAACTAGTCCTCTCTCAGATATTCCTCTCTATCAACCTTGCCTATCTAATTGGCTGCAGAGTGAAATTTCAAGTTTTGAAAAAAAGTTAGAAAACTAATCACAGACCAGAAGGGATTGGCAGGAAATAGTCAAAGTGATGAAAAGCAAGGACCTACACCAAGATTAATCTACCTAGCAAAGCTACCATTTAGAATTGAAGGACAGATAAAGATCTGCCCAGACAAAGCAAAGCTGAAGGAATTCATCACCACCAAACCAGTATTACAAGGACTCTTAGAAGGACTTTTTCTAGATTTACAAAAAAAACTTTTTTTCAAAAATAAGAATAAAATGACAATAACTACATATCTATCAAAAATTACTTTCATGTAAATGGATTAAATGTTCCAATCAAAAGATAGAATGGCTGAATGGATAAGAAAACAAGACCCTTATACATGCTGCCTGCAAGAGATTCACTTCAGATCAAGAGGCACACACAGACTGAAAGTAAAGGGATGAGAAAAGATATTTCATGAAAATGGAAACAAACAAACAAACAAACAAAAACGCTGACGTAGCAATACTTTTATACCAGACAAAATATGAGGTCAGACAATTAAGTTCGCCAGCTCATCCTAGAAAAAGTGCTACATACCTCATTGTTGAATATTACTACTGTCACCTTCAAAGTACTCCCCTTGGGAAGCTATGCACCAATGCCAGCACCTAGTCCACACTTCAAAGCAATTTTGGAATTCTTTTTCTGGAATGGCCACAGAGCTGTAGCGTATTATCCTTGATGTCCTGAATGTCATCAAAATATCTTCCTTTCAATATTTCCTTTATCTTCAGGTAAAGAAAGAAACCATTGGGGGCCAGATCAGGTGAGTAGGGAGGGTGTTCCAATACAATCATTTTTTGGTGTTTTAAAATAGGTTTAAGTATAATGACAGTAAATCTTGTAATGTTTAGTGGCTGAAAACTTTCTCACAGGCAGTGCCATGGGAGCTGGTGAGTTGTTGTGATGCAAGAGCCATGACTTGTTGGCAAAAAGTTCAAATCGTCTAACTTTTCCATGCAGCCTTTTCAGCGCTTCCAAATAGTAAATTCAGTTAACTGTTTGTCCAGTTGGTATAAATTCATAATGAATAATCCCTCTGATATCAAAAAAGGTTAGCAACATCGTTGCAATAAGTTCACAAACGTAATTGTCAGACTTCGTATGCAAAGTTGCAATAACAAGTTTAATGGCACCTTCCCCCACCCCAACGGACATAACCGAACACAACAGAAGATTCCACTACAGGCTGAAGCAGTTTGCATCCTGGTTGAAGAATATGAAACCCCAGCTAAACAGAAACTCAGGGCAGCTGTCTACCCTAGGACCACCCCCCACACCTCTGCCCCTGCCCTGCAACACCTCTGTCAGTGTTTCTCTTCTTAAATAAACTTTCTAACTTCTATTCCTTTGTGCCTTGTGAAATGTTTCACAACCCATGAGCGCGAGCAACCAGGACAGTGATCTAGTAAGTAAAATGTTTCTGTGAGATCTGTGAGATCCTCTAGCAAATTAATCAAATCCAAAGAGGCAGTTGTTGGGACCTCCAATTTATAGATAGTTGGTCAGAAGCACAGGTGGTAACCTGGACTTGCAACTGGCATCTGATGGGAGTGGGGCACGGGTAGCATGTCTTGTGAGACTGTACTCTTAACCTGTAGGATCTGATGCTATTTCTGGGTAGATGGTGTCAGACTTGAGTTAAATTATAGTACACCCAGCTGGTGTCAGAGATTTGTTGGTGTGGAAAAACCCTCCCTCCACTCCATATTTGAACTGGGTCTGATTCTGGCAGGGCGAATCAACCAGAGTAGGGACTCAAGCCTGGGCCAAGAACATTCTTGGCTTTGTTAGGTAGAGATTAGAAAATGTAGCAGCAGGAGGGGTGGGAGGAGGTCCATAGTGCCTAAAGAAAAAGTTCTCAATTAGCTTTGATTAACTGCCTCCAGCCACTGTCCGTTGTCTTCTTTTTTTTTAAGCTGAGCCATCCTGCCACCTGTTGGCAGCTCAGCGGCTGCTCAGCTCAGGCCAGGACTTGAACCGCTGTTGCTCAGAGCTCAAACTCTTGAGCAAGCTCTTAACCAACTGAGCCACTCAGCCCACCAGCTATTATCTGTTTTTACAACAGATGACAGGAGGTGGTCTGGAGCAAGAGAAGGATCTGAGTCAACAGACCTCCACCCATCTTAGGAGGTCACACTCTCCCATGTAAGAGCATGCACCACTTTTCCTGCCAAACCAATATGTAACTCCCTCACCAGCAAACTATTACTAATATGAGTCCTCGGTGTATTGGAGTAGGATTAACCCCTGGTCATTCGCAAAAGATAAAAGCATCCACAGACTCAGAAAACAAGGTAAAGCAAGTTTTTTATTGAAGGTTGAGCAGAGAAAGAACACCCCCGGCAGTGTCTGAAGAGGACAGCTACCCCTAGGTGAGGGGAGGTACGGGTTTTATTTTTTTATTTATGCTGGATGCAGGGGGCTAGTTATCTTAGAGTTGTTTACAGTTGCCGCTGGCTCCTTCTGAGAACTATTGTCTTGTTTGGCTTCCTCCCAAAATTGTCCTGGTGTTTGTCAGTCTATAGGTGTCTGGGGACTCAGAGCTTAAGTGGTTAATCTTTTCTTTTTTTTAAAGATTTTTTTTATTGGGGAATTGGGGGGATGGGAACAGTGCTGGGGGATTGGGGAAGGGGAACAGACAAGTTGCTGTTGTTTTTTGTTTTTCAATCTAGTTGTGGAGGACGTTGCTTCACTTGCCCAAGTTGGCACCATCATTGCGCTCTTCCCTGGAGAGGCAGATCAGTCGCCGGCTTCTGGACAGCTGCTCACTGCAGCTGCTGGCCGCTCACGCTGGCTGCTGGCCACACACGGTAGCCCATGGCAACCCACTGCAGCCTACCCAGTCGCCGGTGACTCATGGCAGCCCAGCTCCAGGTTGAGCTGTTGTTCAGCATCTTAGCTGTGGAGGGCAGTGTTCACTGGTCCTCATATGTGAGATCCGAACCTGGGCCCTCTGGCATCCCAAGCCAGTTCTTAAGCATCGCTTCACTCGGCTGGCCCTTAAGTGGTTAATCTTTAACCATATTCTTACGCACTCCCAGACTCATTCTTTTTTATTTTAACTCATCAGTTAATCTTTAGGCTCATTCCTGTTAGCTTCCAGACTTGTTCTTATTGACTCTTTCTGACTCATCACTCGGGACAAGGGCTCTCTACACTCTCTTCTAGCCCTCGCTCGTGCTCGCTCTCTCCCCCACCTTGCTAGGCCCATTCTCTTCCCTGAGAATGTATTGCTAATAAACCCTGCTTGAGTATTAATCAGCTTGCTGAACTTTGATTCTTCACTGCATTGGTAAGAAGAACCAAGACTCCCATAACAGCTTCATGTGGGAAAGAACTCAGATATGAGCCAATATAGAATTTAAAGGGAAAGTAAGTTTATTTAGCAGAGAGTAAGAAGAGGCCATCCCACAGACAGAGTAGCAGTCTCTAATTGCTAGTGAAGACAGACCCTCTCCATCTGCTGGGTTAAGGTTTATATGTGATTTCTTGTTTCTATAAGAAATTTCTTGGTATGGGAAAAGGAGGAAAGAACAATGGTAAGTTTATATTTAACTTCTATATGGTGCAAAAATAGGGGCAGGTTTATGTTTAACTTTTGTAAGGTATGTTGTGTCTGCTTGCTCATGGGGCCGTGAAAGAATTCACGAGTCACGTAGAAATACAGAAGGAATATTTATTAAAGTAAGACAAGGGTCGGCTGGGCAGAATCTGCTGGAAACTACTGCAAACCTGCGTCGAGTCTGTCTGGTCTCAAGTTTTATGTTTTCTAACCAGGATGTCAAGTGCTTTGGCCAGTAGTTGGGGGTGGAGGAAGGTGCTTAGGTTAAACTGGTTATCACAACCTTTGCCTATGTTATGTAGATTTAATTTGAAACTAGGAGTGGATCCCATACAGATGCAAAACCTCTCCCAAATCACAGGGCCAGCATTGGGTCTAAGTAAACAGAACCATTGAAACTGCATATTAAATGTATAGGAAGCAGGATTCTTAAGAGACAAAGAAAAGAAAGCTTTCAAAAAGTCTCAAGCTAAATTACACTTGTTAAATCAAATTATACCGGAGATCCAAATCTCAAAATAGGCTATTTAGTGCCACCTTTACAATCCCCTGTCTTAACAATGTACAGAATGTGGTTTGTAGTGTCAATGAAAAACATCCAGCCTAAGAGAAAGCTTATGAGTTTATTTGAGCCAAACTGACAATTGCCAGGAAGCAAAATCTCAACGAACTGAAAAAATGCTCCGCAAAATGGAGGTTTGCAGCTTATTTTATACATAGTGTTGGGTCCAGATAATCAATAAAGAGGCTGAATGTCAAATTAGGGTTCTGAAGATTTTATTAAGCTAAGTTCAGCGACTGTCTCTCCGACTAAGGGAAAAACAGCCCCCAAGACTCAGGGGGTAGGGTTTTTATAAGGCAGGGCTATAAGTAAAGTAAGTTACAGAAGCCAAAAAGAATGTGCAGTTATTTCAGCTAAAACCGCATCTTGCTGTCACAACAGTGCGGTTATGTTCAGATGTCTTAACAGTATATCGTGACTGGGTTGAGCTGACCGCACAACCTGTTCCTTAGAGATATAGGTAGAAACTAAAGTTAACTGCTGCAAAAACTGCTGCAAAAACCTCTTCGAAGTGTTAAGATAGAGGCGGAGGGGAATGTTGTAAGGCCTTTTGTTATGTTAAGAAAGAGGCGTGGGGAGGGGAAGAAGGGGGAACTGAGGAATGTTTTTCTTTAACCTTTTATTCCCCAGCAGAAGCAAAGCAGGTGTACAGAAGCAAAAAGAGCTGTTAGTTCCTGTGAAACAGTCAAAGCCAGTTGTGGCAAAACTACTTCAGCAAAACATTTTTAATATTTCTTAGAGTCTAGCTGGAGTAGCTGAAGTATGATTTTTTAACGTGAATCTGTCCGGCCTAGGGTCTGGGCTGGGGTCCCTTCAATAGAATCAAAAGAGGATTACATGAAATGCACTGATGGTAGATTAAAGAGGTGGGAGAAAACAAAGTGGGGAAATCTCTGGGATTGGATAAAAGTAAATTGGAGAGACAGGTACTTCTTTTACAGAGGTGGGTGCAGGACAGTTAATAGTTCACATGGAGCTGTTAATCAACAGACTAGAATAATAATGAGGAATTCTGTAGTTTCCTGCTCTGGTCTAGAAAAAGGGATTACTGACATTCCAAGGATGGCATTTTAGGTGCAAAAAGACAATAGACAGGCTTACTTAAGGTGAAGATTGACCTTATGGGGCCCGGCCAGCCGAGTGGCTCAGTTGGGTTAACAGAATGAGCTCTGAGAAACATGGTTGCAGGATTGATTTCCACATGGGCTAGTGAGCTGTGCCTAAGCTGAGCTGCCAACAAGTGGCAGGATGGCTCAGCTGGTGAGAGCACATGCTCCTAACGACAAGGTTTCCAGTTTGACCCCCGCATGGAATGATGGGCTAGGCCCACCTGCAACTAAGATTGAACATGGCACCTTGAGCTGAGTGGCTGCCAGCTGCCAATGAGCGGCCGGATGGCAACTAGACTTGGAGCTGAGCTAGCTGTGCCCTCCACAACTAAAATTGAAGGACAACAACTTGGCTGTTCCCTTCCCCAATTAAACCTTTAAATAAAAAAGCAAACAAAGGGCCAGCCAAGTGGCGTGTTGGTTAAGAGTTCTCTTGGGACACCAACTCTGAGCAGCAGGGCCCCAGTTCGGATCCCACATTAAGGCCAGTGATGCTGCGCCCTCTACAGCTAAGATGGTGAACAACGACTCGACCTGGAGCTGGACTGCCATGACTCGCTGACGACGGCGTAGGCTGCAGTGGGCTCCCGTAAGCTACAGTGAACGGCCAGCAGCTG